AATATTTTTCATTGAAATTTATTTAAAATAATTAAAAGAATAAATTTAGAAAAAAAATTTTCTAAATACTTTTAAACAAAAGAATAAAAAATTAAAAAATTTGTTTTTAAAAATGCTAATGAATAAGTTGAAATATCAATTTTTTATTAAAATAAAATTTTGGGAATATTTAGGAAAAAGTTGAAAAATCAATTTTTTCTAAATTCTTTAAGAATAAAAATAAAATAAAATATTTAAAAAATGCTAAGGAAAATTTTGAAATATCAATTTTTCCTTAAAATGAAATTTAAAAATATTTTAAAAAATTGAAGTATTAATTTTTCTTACAATTCTCCAATAATAACATAAAATAAAATAAACAAAACTAATTAAGGGACAAGTTATTATAAACTTTTTTTATAATAGATTTTAAAATAATGTTTTTGGAAAAAATTGAAATATCAATATTTCTTAAAAAAATAAAAAATAAAATTTTTGGATCTTCCAATGATAAAATTACTAAAAAGTTGCAATAATAATTTCTACATAAATTCTTAGGGATGATATTATTTTATAAATACTGCTAAAATATTAAAATATTTAAAAAAAATAAATATCAAAGATTTTAATAAAAAAAATAACTAATAAAAAATATTTTTAAATCTGATAACGAAATCTCTTCAGAGTTGATATAGATCTCTTAAATACTCTTTATATAAGGAAAAATTCTTAAATTTCTATTAAAACATTAGAGTAATTTAATAATAATATCTATTATTAAGTTCTTTAGAATTTTTTTTATAAAAATTTTGACAGACTTAATGATAACACAAAATTAATTGATATCCACTTTGGACGGACATTATAAAAGTACTATAACTTTTTTTATATGTAACTGTACTATTAAATCTAACTTTAATTTACAGATAAAAAAATTTTGTTAAATAAATCTTAATTAATTTTAAGATTTATTTAAATAAGATTAATGGTCAATTACATAAAAAATTGATGACAGCTCTTAATTTTTACATCTAACGATTAAATTTTCATACCGATACATTATGACATGATGTTTCATCAAGTTGTGCTAAAATAAAATGAAGTAAAACTTGATGCCAAAGCAAGCTATAGCAAATTGTGTGAACCGAAATTTTTGCTCTTTTTTTTTAATTATTTTGTTGAATTTTGTTTGTTTCTTAGTTTTTTTTAATTAATTTTAAAATTTGACAAAATAAACTTGGGTCTTATTATTAGTTTCAATTTTTTATTGGCCTTCAAGCTCATATGATCCATCTCGATTTCGGCTTTAAGTCAAATGAAATTGGACTAAGTTTTAAAAGTTGAATTTGAATTTAGACTTGTACAGTATTTAAACTTATAAATCCAAATAATTACATTTAAAATTGACCTAAATTAAATTAAATTAGATCTTACCCATACAAAATATCCAAATACAATTAATTCAAAATAAAATTCAAATGAAATTAATTATGTAAATTCAATTAAAGTGCTTGAATAAACACGAATTGAAACGTTCAAATCAAATATAAAAATTGACTAACAGTTTTGTCAGTCTCCATTTAGATATGCTAACCTTTCGACTAACAGCCTCTTAACACTATTTTGCAAATACTTAAAGTACAAAAATTCCACAAAAACCACAATTCAGGATAGTCTCAAACTTAATAACTTTTGAAAAAAAATAAATATTCGCAAGTGATCAAAATTTAAGATCTTGATATAAAACACCTAGATTCGAACTAACACTGTCCTTTGTTGGTATATAAACCGTAAATCTGAAAAGTTCTAAAAAAATTAAAAAATAATCGTAAATCTCCTTGTAGGTTGATAGCTTGTCCTGGAGATGGAATGGCTCCTAAATTTTTTCCTGGCCAAAAAAGAAAATGTAGTTAAAAAAAAAAAAACCTTTGCCCACTGTTTTGATTTCCCAATTCGGGATTCCCAAAACTATTTGATGAAAAAGGAAGCATGATCACAAATGAAAGCTAGAGATTCATACTGAAAATATAAAGACGACTAAAAATCATTTACCTTAAAATGAGAATTTTGAAAATTGGAGGAGACAAGCAGAGACTTGAGATGAGAAAGCATTGATTTGGAGGCGAAACAAAGGTTTGCAGTAGTGTGGTTGCTTCATGGTGAAAGATGAGAGGTGAGAAGATTGGTGGCTACCGACGGTGAGTGGTGAGAGGACTGAACCGACTGCCGACCGATGCCTAGTGGCATCTGTGAGGACTGACCAGAGGGGAAGTCAAGTGGGTGTGACGAGCATCCCTAGGAAGTGTTTAGGATATTAGGAATTTAGATTTTCATTTTAGGGATTCAGTAAAAAAGAAAAAATAAAAGATAAAAGGGCTGAAAAACAGGGTTGAAAGAGTAATTATATATTTTAAATATTTAGTTATTTTAATTTTAAGTTTTTTGATTAGTTTGGATTTAAAAATTCAACATCGAATTTCGGCTCCTAAAATCGAAAATCAAGTGCTAAACCAATTTAATATCTAAACTCAAAAAACCAAATCGATTTAATTAAGATGACAATTTAGATTGATTTATTGATTTAAACCAATTTATGCTCGCTCTTAATTTATATAGATACAATTTTGTAAATATGATTTTCTTTAATCTTTTATTTGATTAACATCATATTAATATATTTAAATCATATTTGATACATAAAATAATAAATATAATATAATATTAATTATTTTATATTATATTTAATTTATATTTTAAAAAAATTATAAAATTATAAAAAAATTAATCATTCTCTTGATAGAAAATGATTTAATTTTTTTAAAATAAAAAAAAATATTTTTAATTTATAAAATTAAATTTACATGTTTTATTATATCATTAAAAATTATATTAACAATTTAAATTTAAATTTTTTAAAAAATAATTTTAATTAATAAATAAATTATCATATTCTAATCCTTAAACATATTAAACATAAAATAAAATAAAATTATATAATCTAATTTTATTTATAATATCAAATTATTCTATATTATTATAATTTTATATACCAAATTCATCTTTAATACATTGGAAAACCAACTTTCTGACAAATTGAAAAACAAATTAAGGTATGATATTGCTTGTGTAAGATTTGGGTGAAGTTTATTAATGATTCCAATAAGATTAAATTCGCACCGCTTGCAAGATCTATTTTAAAAACTTCTCCTTGCTAGCGTTGATGAGTCAATAATTTCTTCATAAGCAATCGTTCATTAACGGAGCCGAACGAAAATCTAAACATATAGTTTGGGCCATGGATGCCTCAGAATATTTACCCAAAACATTGACTCTTAAAAATAAGCCCAGCTCACTATATGCTAGGAGTTTTAGATCATAAACATTGGCCCATCCCATTTTAAGCCTGGGAGAATCCTTGAAGGGCTGGACACACCGCAAACGTTGTTCCCAACTGTTCAAGGAGGAGCACACTTTATTGTTATTATTTTTTCTTTTTCTGGAGAAGATAAAAAGTTCAAAATCTTCACTTACCTGAAACAGGTCAAAAAGTGGAAAATATTATGTTATGGGACTTGAATTTCAAGCTTCCGCACATCACGCCGACAAATTGAACAGCTAAAGTTCTTCCTTTAACATTACTTAAAGAAATTATTTAATCACTGGAGTGTACCAAACCAAACATGTCTTTTCCAACTAATCATCTCATTTTATAAACCTTTGCCAGAGACTAAAAATGAGATTGATGATCATGAAGCTAAATATTGGTTTTCAGCGGTTCATAATTGATGCACTCTCAAAAATATGTGAATGATGATTTAAAGCCATAAATGCAAACGACATTTCGTTTCATGTGTCTACATTGCTCTTTAAGTGTTTGCAAATAGAGAAAGGCTCAAGTCTGGAAAATTATTTAAAATCAAAGGAATATTGTTAATTCCCATCTTCGGAGAACATTTGAACTCATCAAACATAATAATTTTCATTCATCAATTATAATACCAAATCATTCTATATGCATTTCTCAGTACTTCAAAAGAGAAAAAAAAAAAAAAAAACAAAAAAAAAGGAAAGATGTAGCATGTTACATAATTCCTTGTTCCTTGAATTATTATAGGGTAAGCTAAAGATAGCATGCCGATGTCAAAGCAATAATAATATTACTTTTTCTTTTTTATGCTAAGAAATGATTAAAAACGCTTACATGGTATACGCCCTTGACCTAGTTATATCTAAAAAAATCTTCTTGAATCAATCTGAACAAATCAGAAGAAAGAACTACAAGAATATTTGTTTCAAGCCTGCCTTCAAGTGCCACACCCACTAATGCCCTATTTGGATTACATTGCATCTCCAATGTAATACAATTCAAATGCATGCATTTGGATTGTATTTCATTGCTCTCAAACGCACTGCCCCCTTTAATTGGAAACAGGAAGGTAAAGGGTTCAGTTGAGTGGTCGAATGTTTAGTATAAAATTAAAAATGAAGAGGACTTTTAATTATGACAACTGATTATTTTTAGTGACATTGTTGATTGTTTTACCAAATTTCATCATCACCGTTGCATTTACTTTTAAATACATGTTAATTAATCAACCTAGAAATTAACTATCCTCTACCTCTATATAAGAGTAATCTTAAAAAAAAAAAAAAAAGGAAGAGGGGAGATTTCAGTTTCGACTTTTTGTCTTGTAGATACCTAACTTAACTGACAGGACCCCATTTTTCATTTCCCCACCACCCTTTGATGAAAAGCAAAAGAGAGAGGAGCCTGATTCAACAAAATCAAAGAAATTAAAATAAGCATGCACCTTTTTGACGGATGAGATCAAAACAAAGATTTTAGGTGCCGACATTCTCATGGAATGCACATGCTGTATGCGCTATTTGTTATCATTATTTTCTTCCCCGCATCTTTCGCTTTCCTTAATCCGCGCATAAGTGCCCGGTCATCAGCAGAGCAACTAAGTCTATAAAAGAACTTAATAAATATTGGAGCTTTCCATCAACTTAGAGTACTATACTATTACTATTTCCCCTTGCTCTATTTTCCTGATCATGGCTTCCCTTGCAAAGCACATTACTTTTTTCTTCCTTCTAGTGCTATCCTCCTCTGTCCAGATTCGAGCTAGGGAAAGCATGTTCTTTAGCAAGATCTTCCACCTTGGGGGCAAAATTTCTCCTCAAGAGGTACCTACACCATCTCCAGCACCAGCGCCGGCTAACTCTGAGGGCCAATTAGATCCTTATCATGGCCTTTATGGTCAGGGCTCTGGCATGTTCCCTCCTGTAAAGAAGACTGTCAGCACTAGCAACACTCCTACCACTTTCGAAAATGATCTTTTGGCTGAAGAACTTGCTGATGAAAAATATGAGACGGGCTATGAGAACAACAAATACAACAATAATGGCTACACCCTCAGCAACTACAACAGCAATGGCGACACAAGCAGCAACTACAACAACAATGGCTACACCCTCAGCAACTACAACAACAATGGCAACCCAAGCAGCTATAGAACCAATGTCTACAGCAGCAACTACAACAACAATGGTTATGAGACAGAGAGACAAGGAATGAGTGATACCAGATTTGTGGAGGGTGGTAAGTACTATTATGATGTGAAGAATGGGAACTATTATCCTAATGGATACGAGTCGTCAGGTAAGGAAACTACTAAAAATGAAGGTTACTACGGAAATACAGAGAACTCCAATGAGGTCAACCCCATGGAAGAGTACCAGGAGAGCCAAGAAGAGTATGTGCCATAGATATTGGCCATGACTCATGAATGAAAAAAGGGAAAAGAGTTTTGGATAGTGGATATATGTTTAAGATCTGGAAGACTAAGTTATGGAGTCTTTTATTCATGTTTTTATTTTCTATTCTCACTTGTGTTTGCACAATTTTTATGCTTTGCAAATCAGAAAGGATTGAAAACAATACAGTTTTAACACATTGGACTTGATTGTTGATTATGTTCCTCTAAGGGCTAAGTATTATGTTGTCCTGATTCAAATCAACAGAATCAATTGGGTTTGCCAAAATAGCCGAATCCAATAACCCCGAATTCATCATGTGGTAAATTTAATATTCTAAAAAATTCATTATTGTACAATTGATCAAAAGTTAAGCAAAAAATGACTGAAATTAATAAGAAAAAGAGGCATATATATGACTGCTATTAAAGCAACACCTAAGTTTAATGATTTATAAAGGCCAAGATCCATTCAATTCCCAATTGAAATTCACAACTTTGTGCAGGATGTTAAAGCATGCTTGATTTCAAGGGTAGGATTAACGGCTCGAGGGGTTAATCGTGCTCACAAACTGAATTAAATTAGTCAGGACTTCTTATTCTAACAAAAAAACCCACACTTCCATGTGCCATCCATCTCATCATCAATGATTTACTTTTGTTAATAAATTACATTAGCAAAATGTGAGCTACCATGCAAATCCCATTACATTACGTGCAATCTTTTTTCTTCATTCTCAAGCTACAGTTTTTTTATATAAAAAAATTATATTCCTTTTATTTTCAGCTTGTATTAAATTTTTTGGTGATTATTTGTAGATTTATTAATTTTAAACATGATATGATAATATGATAATAACAAAAAAATATAAAAGTGATACGATATAAAAATTTTAACAAAAAATAATATATGAATTTGATAAAAACTAAAAAATATATTTTGTATTTAATATGTTAATATAAATTATAATATAATAATTTTTATATCTTACATGTTTAACATAAAATACATACTGTGCCAATACACCAATTAATAGATTTAATTAGGCGAGTAAGCGATTTTGTGACTAAGAAACAAAAGACCACCAAATTAGACCTGAGGCGATCATGGGCCAGGAAGGGCCGAATTTAGACCAGATTATATACTTCATGTTGTGAAGAGAGACCCCTCCCCCAAAGCCGGCATGGTTTGAAGAGAAATGGTTAACTTGGGCCAAGACAAGCTCCCTCTCATCATTTTAAAAGTTCAAATATATGAAGAATAAGTAAAAAACTCTAAATTAGCAAAAAAAAAAAAAAAACAGTTCCGAAGTAAAATCTATATAAATGGAAAAATAAATGCTCTGTTTTTTTGCATTTATGTAATAAAATAAATTATTAAAATATTTTACTGATTTAGATCAATTAATATATTATTAGAGTTGACGTTTAAAAATTGAGAGTTCAAAAAAATTTAAGCATATAATATTTTTTTCATAAAAAATATAATAGGACAAGAGGTTTTTTTTTTTGGAGTAAATTAAATTTTCAAAAAATTATTAAAGTGTTTTAAAAATAATAATTGGGACCTTGTAAAAAAAGGGCCCAGGTGAGAGCGGTCCCAGGATGTTGCCCACGTTGATCCTATGTAGTATTAAAAGATCCATGCAAAAACCTGGTGAGCGTCTGGAATAAAAAATGGCGTGTGGGCCTACGGAATTTTACGACAGAATAGTATAGTCCGGTTCGGCCCAGTTTGCTCTTTTCAGTTAGGAGAGGACCAGTTTAAAAGGGCGACCCATGAAGGATTGCTTGGGGAGAAATTCAATTAGTATAATAACATTCCTTTTTCTTTTCTTTCTTCAAACGCTTACGACTCCGAAGAGATTTCCCAAGTAAAGCCAGATAACCCATTGCCCTAAGCGCGATGTCGGATCCCAAAAGAGGCGCCGGAACTTCCCAGACGAAGCCTCCGCCCAAGGACCCCAAGAAGAGAGATGAGAAAAAAGAGGAGGATCTGGTGAGTCGCAGTTCGGAGATTAGGGTTTAGTTAACTGTATCGATATTTTGTATAACTTAAGTAGTTCTTTGTCTTTTGGCATACACAGTCGGAAGAGGATTTGGCTTTGAAGCAACAGCTGGAGTTATATGTTGAAAGAGTTCAGGATCCTGATCCTGGACTCCAGAAAGTAGTTCTTGAGAGCATGAGGTAATCAAATTATTTGCGAATTTGAGTTAAGAATAGAGAAAAAGGAAGCTTATTTTATAGTTCGAAAGAGTGTTTATTTTATGTTTGTATGTTTTATTAACATCTTATCAAGTTGATGGGTCAGGTCGAATGTGAAATTGCCGCTGTCAATTTATCAAATTATGTTATTTTTGTCGATTTTACTGTTAGCTGGAACGTCCATGGGTGGGTTTAGTTGCAATGCCTGAATAAAGCATCATTTTTTTACAGTGTAATTTTATATCCTTTTTAGGCAAGAAATCCGCACTTCAACAAGCTCCATGACTTCTGTTCCAAAGCCATTGAAGTTTCTCCGTCCTCATTATGGAACCCTAAAGGCTTTTTATGAGACAATGCTGGAATCAGATTTGAAGGTATTACTTGTTTTGCGTTAATTATCTCCCGTTACATCTTTTATAAGGGTGATCTATTTGAGCTAAGCAATGTAGTGAAGGATGATTTAGATGGAAGCATTATTTTTAATTGGGACTTTGTTCTTAATTATTATGTCATGGGCAGAATTATTATTTTATATAAATTTTTAGGGTATTTAGGTTATTTGTTTTGAGTAGGTTTTTTTTTTATTAACTAAGTTTAGGAAGTAGCCTATAAATGCCTATATTCTTTCAGGTTAATTAGCCATATTCTCATAAATCCAGAATTTCCCTTGGTTTTAAGAATTTTCTTGATGTCTTTTCTTTCCTATATGTTCTGCATCACTAAATTACTTTCACTTGTTTGCAGAAATACCTAGCTGATATCCTGTCTGTGTTGGCACTGACCATGTCTGAAGAGGGCGAGCGGGTAGCTCTCCATTTTTTTCCCAAATATTATACTTGGAGAATTGCACAAGTTTTGCTTTATCTTTCTCATTCCTCACTTGTATGGCACTCTAATTTTGATATTCAATCATTCTTTCAATTTGACAATCCTACAGGAGAGTTTAAAGTATAGATTGTTGGGTTCAGAAGGCGACATTGGTTCGTGGGGCCATGAGTATGTGAGGTGAGCATTGTCTGACTTGATAACATACTGTTTTATTTTTTTTCCTGGAAATTTTGTATTACCAGTGCTAGCTGAACTTGTTTTCAGATTGTGATCATGATTTAAGTTTTATCTGTTGGTATATTGGTTGCTACTGCTGTCTTGGTGCTCCAACTTTCTTTTCTTAGAATTTTTAACCTAAGGATAACCTATGTGAATTTTTTTCTTCTCATGTTGGTAATGAAATCTAAAAGAAATTTGTGTTCTGACTTGTTAATTTATTGTCAGGAACTTGGCGGGAGAAGTTGCACAAGAGTATATGAAGCGGCAGGTTAGAAATCTAAGGAATCTTTAGATATCTAGAAGTTTTAATGAGTTATGCACTTTAAAACAATTCTCTCTATATGGTTTTCCTGAATAGTGAGACATGAATCTGGATTTCAATTGTATTTACTTTCTTTGCCGCCAATGCAGAGTGAAGAGGCCCCAATTGAAGATCTAATGGAGCTTGTGCAACAAATTGTTGCTTTTCACATGAAGGTTTATATCTTGTTATATATAACAAGCAATTGATTTATTGCAGAAGAAAATTCTGTTCAGAATATTCCACGTTTTCCTGCTTCTTATGTATTTGTGCTTTTATGTGCAGCACAATGCTGAACCTGAAGCTGTTGATCTCTTGATGGAGGTGCCACACAACATAATTTCTTTTTTCAGGTTTCCTATTTGAGTTGCCTTCTGTTTTTATTGAGCTTGAAACATATGATTTGCAACTCACTGCAGGTTGAAGATCTTGATCTTTTAGTTGAGCATGTTGATGTTACAAATTTCAGGAGAACTTGTCTATACCTCACCGGTGCTGCTAGGTAACTGGAAACTAATGCTTCTGAACAACTTGTTTACCATGAATAATTGAGAGAAAGTGTTTTTTGTTGTTCTCCTAATGTATATCTTCTTTGGTGAATTCTGATTGAGAATTCTCCAATCAATTATATGTGAAATTTATTAAGTTTTAAATGCTGAACTGAAAATTTTCAACTGGATCTCTGATGTAGCGTTATCCACGATAAATGATGTTGCTCTCTCTCTCTCTCTCTCTCCCTGTTTTGACATTTCATGCTGCAATTTTTTGCAGATACCTTCCTGGACCAGATGACATGTTAGTTTTGGATGTTGCATACACAATATATCTTAAGTTTGAGGAATTTGCAAATGCACTTCAGATTGCACTTTTCCTTGACAACATGCAGGTTTGTTTTCTATTATTTTCCTCTTCTTTCATGCCATGCAGCATTGTTGAAGAAACTCCTTTTTCAGGATGTCAGTATGAAATTTCATTTATGAATTTACTTAGTTTTAACTATTTAAGAATGTTGCTCTTGCAGCATGTGAGACAGGTGTTTACTTCTTGTGATAATCTGCTGAGGAGAAAGCAATTTTTGCTACATACTAGCTCGACATGTAAGTGCTAGGTTTGCTTTGGCTAGATTCTTTGTGCTGGAAAGTATTTCAACTATTTATTGCTAAGTGCGTCATTTGCGTCAATAGTTTTCTTCTAATTACGGGACAATTGAATTTTCATTTCTCATGGTCGAAATTGGGTATTGATGGATTTAAATTTCTCTAGACTTGTTAGTCGGTGTATGTACAAGTGTGAATGTGCATGTGTTTGATGTGCATGACATTTTCTATGTTATTCATTTGTTTTATGTATTTATTTATTTATTTTTTTGCAGGGGATTACTTTTAAGCTTGATGATGAGATGGTTGCAGAAGATGATGACAGAGAGGGTTTACAGGATATCATCAACAATACCAAATTAAGTGAAGGTTATCTCACCCTTGCTCGGGATATCGAGGTTATGGAGCCTAAATCTCCAGAAGACATCTATAAGGTTTGGACTTCAACATTGGCTGGTAGCCAACCCCTCCTCTTTTTCTCCCCTTCATCTTATTGTTTCCCTTTCCTAATGAAGGGAATGAAGTGCTCACATGCATGTTCAGTTATTT